CTTCCAATGGGAACCTTTTTTGTAATCTCAGCCTACTGTGGAGCTTCAACTCTGATCAGAAAAGACAATTAACGCAGTGTAGTACTTGTGTCTTCCAAACACAGTATGGAGCCCAGGGGCAGTAGCCTCTCTGCAAAAGTTCTCGCCTTGCATGTGCTGGGATCCCATATGGGCGCCGGTTCACGTTCTGGCAGCCCCACTTCCCATCCAGCTCTCTGCTTGTCCTAGGAAAGCAGTGGAGGACAGCCCAAAGCCTTGGGACCCTGCACCCCCGTGGGAGACCTGGAAGAGGCTCCTGGCTTCGGATTGGTTCAGCTGTTGCAGCTACTTGGGAAGTGAATCAGATAGAAGATCTGCCTCTCTCTCTTCCTCTCTGTATATCGAACTTAAAAAAAAGAAATATAGTATGGACAGTGATTTTCAAATACACATTACCTTTGACCCAAACCCAATTTGGACATGAGGACCTGCTCCCTTCTGCATCTCCTAGACTGACTTGGCAAATGAGCCCATGACCAAATAAACCTCCCCACCTCCCAAATATGGAAGATTCCCCCAGTTCAGAAGTTTACCTTAGGTTCAACACCTGGAATATCCAGAGGGAAAAAGTCTCTCCAGTTTCAGTTTTTGGGCTTGTTTCTGCTGTACAGGACTGGAAGTAACAATTAGGTTTTTTTTTTTTTCAACATTTATTTTTATTGGAAAGTTAGATATACAGAGAGGAGAGAGATAAAGAAGATCTTCCATCTGTTGATTCACTCCCTAAGTGGCCGCAATGGCCGGAGCTGTGCTGATCCAAAGCCAGGAGTTTCTGCCAAGTCTCCCACGTGGGTACAGGGTCCCGAGGCTTTGGGCTGTCCTCGACTGTTTTCCCAGGTCACATGCAGGCAGTTGGATGGGAAGTGGGGCTGCCGGGGTTAGAACCATTGCCCATATGGGATCCTGATGTGTGCAAGGCGAGGACTTTAGCCACTAACTGCTGCACAGGGCCCAGTCTTCTACTTTAGAGTGGTTGAGGACACAGGCATGACCCTCAGGGCCGTGCTTGCACTGTGTGAACCTGTTGCTCATGGTTAACCCAAGCTGAACCAACAGTCACAGGTGACTGGTCGTGGGATGGAGGGTGTCACTCAAACTCCCGGCAATCATTAGGCTTTCTGAACAGAAACTAAAGCAGAAGCAGCAATTCTTCTCTGATGCTTGGCTCTGCAAGGTGCGCTGCAGTCACATATATTCCTGCCAGCTCTCTTCTGGAGCAATGGATGAAGCTAAGATGCACAGAGTAGTGGAACCAGCACCCATATGGGATCCTGGTGCATGCAAGGCAAGGACTTTAACTGCTAGGCTACCGTGCTGGGCCTGACAATCAGTTTTAAAGGGACTTCCTGAACAACAAACAAGTAATTCAAATATTCATTAAAATTATTCTAATTAGATATAGTCTAGAAATACAGTGTTTGGCTGAAAGGCAACAGCTTCTGTCTGAAGTCATGAAGTAACAAGGAATCTTCACAGGACTCATGGCCCACAGAGGGTGTTCATCCGGACAAATGCCTAGGATTACGTGAGGCATACTCTTATCCTCAAATTTGCTGGCTCTTTGCATAATGAGTAAAATATTTTTGATGTTGGTGTTGTATGTTGTTACCGAATATTTGTATTTCCAAGAATAATTTCTGAAAAATTTCTGATTGGAAGGGTCACAGGGTACTGCATGTAGTTTTACATTATTGCATTTCCTAAACACAGGAAGGTAAATAGTTTAGTAAAATGTCCAGGTAAACTCCCCAGTGCAGTCTTCCTTTATAAGGCACTGCCTCTCCCTGGAAAAAGATCTCCTGGAAGGATCCCTTAACTTGTGCAAAAATTCTTTGGCAAATAAAATAGTCAATAGATTCCAATATTCTGGGCCTACTGTTGCATTGAATCAAAGTCGAATCAAAGCAGTATGGTCAAAGTCTTCCCATACAGTGTTTCGTTTTTGGTTTTGCAAAGTCAGATACACAGAAAGAAAGAGAGACAGAGAGGAAGATCTTCCATCTAATGATTCACTCCCCAAGCCACCACAACTGCCAGAGCCGAGCCAATCCGAAGTATTGAGCCCCGAGTCTTTTCTGGGTCTCCCACACGGGTGCAGAATGCCAAGGCTTTGGGTCATTTCTGACTGATTTCCTAGGCCAAAATCAGGGAACTGGATCGGAAGTGGAGCTGCCAAGATTAAAACTTACTCCCATATGGGATCCTGGCACGTTCAAAGCATGGACTTTAGCCACTAGGCTACTGTGTTGGGCCCTGCTTCTTAATGTTTTCATTGATGAATTTAAGAGTTACAGGAAGAGAGAAACAGATAATCTCCCATCTGCTGGTTCATTCCCCCGAATGACCACAGTGGCCTCCCTCACCGGGGCCAAGGTCTCCCATGGCTGAGATCAGGAGCTGGAGCTAGGGTCAAACCTGGGTACTTCAGCATGGCAGGTGGGCGTCCTAACCCGCGGCTTAACTGTTAGGCTAAATGTTCATCCTCTATAGAATATTTGAGCTTTCATTTGAGATTATTATGCAAATACCTATTAAATGTAATGTGTGACGTGTGTTTTGAGTGAAGATGGATTTCAAAGAGGAAACTTTCAAGGTAAGCCTGCGCCGGAGCATTTAAGTGGTCACTTGGGCTGCCCATTTTCCACACTGAAGTGTCTGATTGGAGTCTTGTTTATTCCATTTCTGATCCTTCTTCTTGAGCACTCATCTTACGGCAGCAGACGAAGGTTTTAGGATTTGGGTCCCTGACTACCTGTGGGAGACCAGATTGTGATCCTGGCTCCTGAGGCTTCAACCTGGCCCGGCCTTGGTTGCTGTAAGCATTTGGGAAGTGTATAAGCAAATGAAAGATTTTTTTTCTCTCTCTCTCTTCTCCCTCTCCCTCTCTTTCTGCTTTTCAAATAAAGTGAAAACAAAATAAATTTTGAAAGAAGGAAACATTCCAATGATGGTTCAACCACATTCTGAAAAGATCTGTAGAGCAGTCAAGTACAAGGATTGAGTCTTTATATGAAAAAAGGGTTTTCTTTTTTTCTTTTTTTTTTTTTTAAAGATTTATTTTTATTATTTTTTATTGGAAAGGCGGATATACAGAGAGGAGAGACAGAGAGGAAGATCTTCCGTCCGATGATTCACTCCCCAAGTGAGCGCAACGGGTCGATACTATGCCGATCCGAAGCCAGGAGCCTCTTCCGGGTCTCCCACGCGGGTGCAGGGTCCCAAAGCCTTGGGCCGTCCTCGACTGCTTTCCCAGGCCACAGGCAGGGAGCTGGAAGGGAAGCGGGGCTGCCGGGATTAGAACCGGCGCCCATATGGGATCCCGGGCGTGCAAGGCGAGGACTTAACCACTTGCGCCACCGCGCCGGGCCCAAAAAGGGTTTTCTTAAATTCCTCATCTGCCTGCTTCAAACGTGATGGCATACAAAATTCAAATTTGTCTTGGAGACGGTTTGGACAGCTTTCGTCTGAATTCGGCTCATTGGCAAAGATTGGTTCCAAAGTGCTACTGCCAGCCTGTGTAAATACCAAGCCTCATCAAGGAAGGAAGCAGCCTTTGGGCTGAACTAACACCTGCCACCCAAATGATGACTCAGCATCCTCCCATTCACTCATTCCACCTTATGCAAGGTGTTATACCTAGGCTCTGGGTGAGGCGCACTCCTGCTCTAAGGAACTTCGGACCTCTTATAAAGATTCCGTCAGTGGAGTGTGGATGGAAGTGCTTTGGGAATTCCCAAATGGAAGACGGTATTTCCAAGCTGAGAGGATAGGGGAGTATCTAGAGGGAACTAGCTTTCAGGCTTCATGCTGTATTGCTAGTGAGAGTTCACTGTAATCAGGATAAGGTAGCTTTATTTTCAGTTAAGCACATGATGTCAGCAGCAGCAGCAGCATCGTGGCAGCTGCTATTTGTTGAGGACATATCCCATGCCAGTGCCAGGCGTCCTTAGATTCTTTGTGCAAACCAGCCTACTGAATAATCAGAGTAACCCAGATAAGTACGCATTGCTTGCATTGGACAGAGGCAGAAATTACCACACAACCAAGATAAGCGATTTGTCTGAGGTCATTCAGCCTGGTAAGTGGTAGGGGCAGGAAGTAAACTGCCCCATCCAGTTCTTATCCAAACAGCAGCCGTTTTCAAAGTGTGGCCCAAGTACACTCACAGGTCCTAAGATCCTGTCAGAGTGTACGCAAGGTCAAAAATATATGCTTAGTGCAGTCGTACAAAGACAAGATTTGCCTTTTCCTCTGCCAGTCTCTTGAGAGCGCACAGGAGTGGATTTCCCAGCAGTTGTGCATATTGTGTGATCAGAACAGGCTGAAAGCAGAAGAGCTGAGCAGCCAGGTACCTTTCGTTAAGTCAAGCACTGCAGAGATTTACAAAAAGGGATAACAACACCATCCACTCACAGAATGTTTTGGTTCACAAAATGTAGGTATTTTTTATAAATTATGTTATTCACAGTTAGTGCTGAAAGGGCTCGTCACTGCTTTCCCAAATATTTATGATTTCAAAAGCTGAGAAACACAAGGGAAAGGGAGAAAGATCTTCCATCTGCCAGTTCACTCCCTGAATGCCCACAACAGCAAGGAAGGGCTGAGCTAGGACAAAGCCAGGAGACTGGAACTCCCTGCAGGGCTCCCACACGGATGGCCGGAAGCTAAACCCGTGACCGTCATTGCTGCCTCCCAGGTACAGATTAGCAGGAAGGTGTATTGGGAGCAGCGGCAGTGCTCAAGCTCTGGTGCTCAAATATGGATGTGAGAGTCCCAAGCAATGACTTAACTCACAATGCTGTGACACTTTTTGTACTGAAGACTTAAAATGTTTTCTGTTTGAGTACACGGTTCTGCCTTGGGAGAATGGCCACCGAAACACTGGTTTGGTGCCTGTGGCAGCAGCCTAGGGGTCAGAGATACCAGCCCTGAACCTGGAACTTGTCTTGTGTGACCCACAGGTAATGGAATTCTACTGCCAGTCCTGCGAGACCGCCATGTGTCGAGAGTGCACGGAGGGCGAGCACGCTGAGCACCCCACGGTCCCGCTCAAGGACGTGGTGGAGCAGCACAAGGCCTCTCTCCAGGTCCAGCTGGATGCCATCAACAAAAGGTACGATCTTCTCTCCCATGCTTCCAGCCTGCGCATCTCCCATGCAGCCGAGCCAGCCTCGTGGCGTGATAATCTGTTCATATCACCCTTCCAGGAGCCGATCTCTGTGTCATTAAGCAAATTCTCTCTTAACCTCTGTGGAATTTGCTGGAAAAGTGTGGAGTCCCCTTCACACAATGGGTGGCGGCATTTTTGCGTTAGCACCTTTGTAAGGAGCGGTAAATGAAAGCACCCTGGGAAGAAATTTCTGAAATCTGCCTGAATTCTCCAGGCGATTGTGACACACTCAGCGGCCCACTCAGGCGGCTGTGACTGGCTTCCTTCTGCTGCAGCCCTGCACGGTGGCTTTGAGCAGTGACTACCCATTTTCCTGCTTCCAGGTTCTTTCTTTGGTGTGGAATCCAAAGGATAGACTAGCTGTTGGGTGCACGGGGAAGACCAAAGACAGCTGCCAAGGGGGACAAAATAGTGAATCTCTTAACCGTAGTCAGAGTGAGAAAAATGTGGGTACTCTGCCCTGATGGAAAGAACGTGGTAGCCACAGAAGAAGTCCCAGGAAATAAGAGTTTAGACATCCTTTGGTTGGGGGGAAAAAAGATGCAGTTTAAAATGTTATATGCATATTTAGAACAGTGGTTCTTAACCCTAGGCAATTATGCTCTCCAGGGGACATTTGGCAAGGTCTGGAGACATTTTTGGTGTCACACCTGTGTGCATAAGTGGAAATATCCTACAATGCACACAGCAGTGCCCGAAAAAATAATTACCTAACCACAATGTCTTGTCAGACAGCTTCAAGTCTTTGTATGACCAGTAATTAAAACGAGGTGATTGGAGACATACTGAAATAAACACGAACCTTCCAAGTCCCATCTTGTAAAAGCTGTGCTTGTCACTTGCTTTGTGCACCCTGGGGGAAAAAAATATTTGTTTACAGAATGGAATGTCTTGTTCCACAATGATCTCTAACGACTGGCCCCTAGGCTCCCGGAAATTGACTCGGCTCTCCAGTTCATCTCGGAAATCATTCACCAGCTGACCAACCAGAAGGCCAGCATCGTGGAGGACATCCATTCCACCTTCGACGAGCTCCAGAAGACACTGAACGTGCGCAAGAGCGTGCTGCTCATGGAGCTGGAGGTCAACTATGGCCTGAAGCATAAAGTAAGTCCCCAGCCCTTCTGACGCTGACCCGGGAGGCCTGCCACCGCGTGACACTAACTCACTGTGTTCTCACAGCACCAGAGGACAAACAGGTCCTCGCGTGTCACCATGGTTCAGGGATCTGTAATTTTGACTTGATGATCTGTTCCACTCTTTTTTTTCTCCCCCTTCTATTTTTGGCACAACTCTATCTGCAACCTTTAGTGCCCATTTATAAATTGACAAAAGGCGAGCAGTGAATATAAAGTAATGCATTCAGGACTCAGGGTTTAGCGGGATTGTTTTCCTTCCCTAATTATAAAGACCAGCACTCCTAATTGCTCTCACCCGCACCAACCAGTTTTCCAACTTCAAAGCAAAGCCAGACGGCAGGCTTGTTTGACTACATCTACATCACAGAACCAGAAACACAAAGCTTGTGATATTCAGACTGGAGAGTTTTGTCTGTGGGTGTATCCTTTAGGTGGGTGGTGACCCAAAGCTTTGGTTTTTAAGGGATGGATACTGAATAATGATGACTTTCAATGCCAGCCACAGCAGCGATGTGTTTGCCAGGCAATTGGTAGGGACGTTTCTATTTGTCCCTGTCCGAAGCACATGACCCAAGAGATATTTGTGTGGGAGAGCCAGGGCGAGGCAGAAAAGAACTGGTGAGATCAGCTGCTGGGAATACAGTTGAGGAGTCTGCAAGAGTCCTGGGCTCACGGGGTTTGGTGAAACGCCATTTGCGGGGAGCCACTGCGTGGGGAGTTGGGGGGCGGGCGGGAGCAGGTGCAGGGCTCCTTCCGGCCCGGCTCAGCTCGTGCCCCCGCGGATCTCACCCGCCTGGACAACCCCCGCAGGTGCTGCAGTCGCAGCTGGACACTCTGCTCCAGGGGCAGGAGAGTATCAAGAGCTGCAGCAACTTCACGGCGCAGGCGCTGCACCATGGCACGGAGACCGAGGTGCTGCTGGTCAAGAAGCAGATGAGCGAGAAGCTGAATGAGCTGGCTGACCAGGACTTCCCGCTGCACCCGCGCGAGAACGACCAGCTGGACTTCATCGTGGAGACCGAGGGCCTCAAGAAGTCCATCCACAACCTCGGCACCATCCTCACCACCAACGCCGTGGCCTCTGAGACGGTGGCCACGGGCGAGGGTCTGCGCCAGACCATCATCGGGCAGCCCATGTCCGTCACCATAACCACCAAGGACAAAGACGGCGAGCTGTGCAAGACCGGCAACGCCTACCTGACGGCCGAGCTGAGCACGCCCGACGGCAGCGTGGCCGACGGGGAGATCCTGGACAACAAGAACGGCACCTACGAATTCCTCTACACCGTCCAGAAGGAGGGCGACTTCACCCTGTCGCTGCGGCTCTACGACCAGCACATCCGCGGCAGCCCCTTCAAGCTCAAGGTCATCCGCTCAGCGGACGTGTCCCCCACCACCGAGGGCGTCAAGCGGCGCGTCAAGTCCCCCGGCAGTGGCCACGTCAAGCAGAAGGCTGTCAAGAGGCCGGCCAGCATGTACAGCACGGGCAAGCGAAAAGAAAACCCCATCGAAGACGACCTCATCTTCCGCGTGGGTGAGTAGGGGCAGGTGGGGATGCGGTGCTTGAGGGCAAGCGTGTGGGGACAGGGCAGCTCGGGAGATCCAGGGACACCTGAACTGGGTGGCCTTTTTCTTCTTCGCGGGTGATGTGCTGTCTCCTTATGTCCCCAGCACCCCCTTTCCTTCCTTCCCCTCCCCTACATCCCTCCCCCCTTCCTCCCAGAGGCTACATGATTAGAGGAGAAAATTGGAACCTGAAAATAATCAAAAAATACAAAGAAATCATAGCTTGCACAGTCCAGCTGCGAGTGTTGGCAGTGCTGACCCCCCGCCCCTGCCCTGTCCCCACCCCGGGGGAGTGATTTAGAGGACCCCCTGTCTGACCTCCCCTCCAGGCACAGAGGCCGCTGTCTCTGGCAGCTTCACAGCTCCAGCCTGCTTGTCAAAAGTAGGGCGTCACCATTGTGATGCCCCCAGCTCCTGCCCTGGCAGAGCACCCCAAAAGCTGTGTGAAGTTCATCGCAGAAAGGGTTTGGGGCGGGGTTGAAGCAGAAGCTGGAAGGTGTGGTTGAGCCTAGAGATCTGGAATGTAAACAGCCTTTTCCCCAGCAGATTTATTGCCTCTAAGCTTTCTGTGTTAACTGTTTACTCTCTCATCAGAAAGCAAGCTAAATAGCATCCAGTGGCTTGAGCCTCCGGCAGGTCAGGCGGGTATAGTCTGCCTTTTGGTTGACTTTCCAGTAATTGCTTCCTGCTGGACTCCTTTGTGTGTGACCGTGGTGGGGGAGGGTCAGCCGTGCCCTGCCTTGCCCTGCAGTGTGACTCCGCAAGGGTGCTGAACTGGGCTCTGTTGAAACGCAGTTCTGCAGACCAAATGTGCTGGAGGGGAACTTTTGGCCGCTGGAATTGAGTTTTGTTCTGCGGAACTTGCTGGGACCCCTCGCAGCCAGCTGCTGAGCACAGTGAAGTGTCTGAGGCAGGGAAAGGGTTGCAGGCAGCACTGCCAGTCTCTCACCAAAGGAGAACTTTCCCTGGGGAGTGTCTTGGGAAACGAGGGCTCCTTGGAACACTCCTGGTCCGCCCTGTGTTGATGCTTCAGGGTACAATGAGGCCCTCAGACTTTCCCGGGCAGGTGGGTGGGTGTGGACCCTGCAGACCCACCCTCTGAAGCAGAGCTGGGCTGTTCTACGGTGGGGGCAGCAGTAGGAACCTCCCTCCTCTGCCACTCCAGTTCCACCTCTCCAGGCGCCCTCCTGGGCCCACCTCTTGGCAACCCCAAGCTCCAGTATCTGCATCTGTAAAGTGAAGATGGCACCACCCTCCAAATTCCAAACTCAGTGCCTGCCGTGTAGAAGGAGTTTAAATAACTGGGAACCATTTTTTTTTTTTCAACTATAATTCCTAAGGCTGTTAGAGTCTGACTACTACCTTTTCTCTTAAAAAAAAAATTCTAAAGCTTGGTGCTTTCCAAACATCTAAAGACAAATTCATCCTCCCCGTCGACCTGCTGACCGACTGCAGTCTAATGTCTAGACAGTGTGCAGCAGTAAAAGACTTAAATCTGGAGTTGGGCAAATCTGGGTCAGGATCCTGATTGGTCTCTGGAACTGAGCAGCCAGCATTCCTCCTCTGTAAAATACAGAGTGAAATGTCACTGAATTTTGATCTTGCTATTTGGGGTGAAATGCGGGAATTCCCGTCTGTTGGGCACTCTCCTAGGTATACAGCAAGCACTCAGTGGGTAGCTAAGCTTGTACTGGTTCATTCTCATCATGTCTGCCTCTGACACCTGGGCGAAGAGAAATGTCCCCAAGGGGTCCCTCCCACAACAAATACAGACACACAGAGAGAGAGACGCATATACACAGACATATATTTTTTATTTAAGAGGCAGAGACACAGCGCTCACACTGGTGACTCGCACCCCGTGTGCTCACAGGGGCTGGGACTCAGGCAGGAGCCAGTCAGGAGCTGGAAACACTGTTCAATTATCCCACATGGTGACAGTACCTGCTGCCTTCCAGGGTATGCATTGGCAGGAAGCCGCCATCTAGAGGTGGAGCTTGGTGTTGAACCCAGATCCTCTGATGCAACAGGCTAAATGGCCCCAGCTTCCAATCTGGGGAGACAGGCATCTACTCTTGCCTTCTTATCCAGTGAGAAATTGACTGGCACTGGTGGGATGATGTTTACATCGCAGAAGCTAAGGGATTTAGAGCAGTAGCCTGGCACATAGCATCATGTCTGAGTTTGTGCATTAACGTAAGATTTGTTTTTAAAGATTTATTTATTTTTATTGGAAAGGCTGATATACAGAGAGGAGAGACAGAGAGGAAGAGCTTCTGTCCAATGGTTCATTCCCCAAGCAGCCGCAATGGTTGGAATTGAGCCGATCCGAAGCAGGAGCCAGGAGCTCTTCTGGGTCTCCCACGCGGGCGCAGGGTCCCAAGGGTTTGAGCCATCCTTGACTGCTTTCCCAGGCTACAAGCAGGGAGCTGGATGGGAAGCAGGGCCGCTGGGATTAGAACCGGCGACCATATGGGATCCCGGCACATGCAAGGTGAGGACTTTAACCACTATGCCATCACGCCGGGCCTGTAAGATGTTATCTTAATTTGCAAAAGCTGCCACAACTTGGAGGATCTAAACAACAAAAATTTATTTTCTCACAATTATGAAACTGAACCTGTTCTGGAGTTGCAGGTTCAGGATCATGGTGCTGGTGTGATTTTGATTTGCATGGTCCTGATGATTAATAAGGTTGAAAATTTTTCGTTGGCCATTGCCATGTCTTGTTTAGAGAGGTCTGTGTAGGCCCTTTGCCCGTTTTATAATTTTTGTTGTTTTGTAAAAAATGTTTATTTGAGCGCTGGAGCAGTAGCTTAGCTGACTAATCCTATGCCTTCAAGTGCTGGCATTGCATATGGTTGCTGGTTTTTATCTCAGCTGCTCTTCTTCCCACCTAGCTCCCTGCTTATGGCCCTGGTCCCTTGCACCATGCACCCACGTGGAAGAACCAGAAGATACTCCTGGCTTCAGATCAGCTCAGTTGCAGCCGTTATGCCATGTGGGAAATGAACCAACAGATGAAAGATCTTTTTTTCCTGTAAATCTGCCTTTCAAATAAACTAAATAAATCTTTATAATGTTAATTTATTTTTTATTGACTTGAAAGGCAGTGACAGAGATAAGCAGACATTGATTTTCCACCTGCTGGTACACTCTCCAAAGTCTGCAATAGCCAAGGCTCCACCCCTCTCTCTCACATGGGTGGGAGTGGCCCAAGCACTTGGGCTATCATCTGCTGCCTTCTTGGATGCATTAGCAGGAACCTGTGTTGGAAGTGGAATAGCCAGGACTCAGATTTGTTCTTGGATAGGGGTTGTAGGCATCCCTAGCAGCGGCTTAACCCACTGTCCCACAGTGCCCACTCTCCTTTACCCGTTCTAAATCAATTGTGCCTTTTCTGGTTGCTGTTGAGTTGTGTGAATTTCTTGTACATTTTAGATATTCTTTACTTTTTAAAGGTTTATTTCTTCATGTCAAGGACAGCATTAGATTGAGAGGGAGAGACAGACATCTTTTACCTGCTAGTTCACTCTCCAAATGGGTGCAGTAGCAAAGCCAGCAACCTGAAACTCTGTCTGGTCTCCCATTTGGATTCAATAACCAAAGGACTTGGCCCATTTGCATTCCCAGGTACATCAGCAGGAGCTGGATCAGAAGTAGAGCAACCAGGACACAAACTGGTGCCTAGATGGGATGTCAGCATTGCAGATGGTGGTTTAGTTAACTGTACCATGGCACAGTATGATTTGCAAATATAGTATCCATTCTATAGGCTATCTCTTGACTTCTGCAATTATTTCTTTGCCATGCAGCTGTTTGTTTCATGAAATCTTATCTTTTTAAAATTAATTAAAGTATGTATTGAAAAGCAATGTAACAGAGAGAGAGAGGGAGAAAGATGTCTTCTATCTGTTAATTAAGTCCTGAACTGACCATAACAGCCAGAACTGAGCCAGGCTAAAGTCAGGAGCCAGAAACTTCTTCCTGTTTCCTACATAGTTGGCCCAAGGACCAACTTCTGTCTTCTCAGGCATGCTGATAGAAAGCTGAGCTATAAAGACTCATACCAGTATTCCACTGTGGATGTTGGCAAATGAACAACCTCAGCTCCAGCCCCTTATTTGTCTATTTGTGCTTCTGCTGCTGCTGTGCTTCTGGATTCTTATCTCAAGATCATTTCTCAGACTCGTATCGTGGAGTCTTCTTTCCCTCTGTGCTTTCTTCTAGTGATTTTATAGTTTCAGGCCTTCTTTTTGTCATTTGCTTTTAGTTGGTTTTTGGCTATAGTGTAAGAGGGAGGTCTAATTCTATGCTTCTGCTTGTGAATATCCAGTTTCCTCTGCACTATTTATTGAAGAGACTGTCCTTTCTCTTTTATTTGCTTTGGCCTTCATCTTGATCAGTCGCTGTAAATGTGTGGATTTACTTCTGTGTTTTCTATTCCAGTGATTTGTACCTGTTTTTGTGCCAGTGTCATGCTGTTTTTATTGCTATAGCTTTAAAATAAATTTTGGAAATCAAGTAATCTGGTACCTGAAGCTTGGTTCCTTTTGCACTGGGTTGCTTTGGCTTATGTAGAGGTTTCTATAGTTTCAAAGGAATGTTGGGATTTCTATTTTTATGAATAGGAATTTTGATAGGGATTGTTTCAAAATTTTGGCTCACTTTGGGTAGCATGGACATTTTAATGATGTGACTCTTCCATTCCATGAACATAGGATATCTTCCATTTATCTGTCACGTTTAATTTCTTACATCAATGTTTTATATTTTTTAGTATACAGATTTTTAGCTTCATGAGTTAAATTGATTGCTAATAATTTTGGGGGTTAATTCCTCTTTAACTTTAGGGCTCTAATTCATAGTCTAGCCAAAAGACAGGCTCAATATTCAATAATATAACTTAAAAAATTTTTAGTGCCACCAGGCATTGTAATAGATGATGGGAAAATAGAGATGAAATAA